TGATTAACTGACTACACTCCTACTAATTTAAATGCAGAATACTTTAGCTCAATCAAGAACACATGCATAAAGCAAAAAGGAAACTTCAGTACTCATGTGAGCTGATACAATTTTTGAAGATTGATCTCCCTGATAGATGATAACAGGTACTCTTTGCATTTACCCATCTTCATTAGTGTTTATTCTAGCATTTCAGATACAGTCTCCTTACTTAATCTCTGACACTTTCAGGTGTTTGAAATACTTGAAAAAAATAAACTTTAAATGAGCTTTGTAAAACCTGTGATCCACTTTTCCTCTGTTACCCACTGAAAAGTTACAACAATTCTCATAAAACTATTCGCAGTAATCTTTAGAAGTAAGCAATCTTAGCACTCCACAGGAAAGGGAAGGTTTGTTTCAAATATGATTACACTTCAGGGATACTCCATGATATTAGAAATAAAAAATTAGTATTCCTAGTGAGCAGGCAGAAGACCTACTTCAGAATTGTATGATTTCATTTGCAAATCATTTGAGTAATACTATAACTTATTTAAGCTATGTATTCATACCGTGCTTGGAATAACGGAGCCTCAATCTTATAGGGCTGCTAAATAAAAATTATAGTGAGAATTTAAAAAACAAGAATAGGGGGGGTTGATTTCTTTGGATAAGGACTATAGAGAAATGTAAAGGAAAGATAATTACCCACTTATATGCACACGGATATCTCTCTTGCTCAATAAGACCAAGAAGTGGTCAGACAGCAGCTTTCACTGCAAAACCCTTACTGCAAAGATTCCACAAGCTGTAAGGCTTCATTTAATGAGCACAATTTAGAAATGAAAAGAACCTTTCCCCATTTTCTTCATGAGCTGATAAGCATGTTGATTCAATACTGGATATTGCTGAGCGCAATAAAGTAGGAAAGTGTTCATGTGTGATACTCAACTCTACAAATTACACATTCTCCCACTCACCAGAGCAAAGAATAAGAATGCTTCTCCTAGATACTGTTTTTCAGGGCTTCTCTACATGACTCCCACCAAGTCCAGATCTTACTGCATCACAACTGACAGATAAATTATAATATTTTAAAACTTTTTCAAGGATATCCAGGATGTGAGATAGATTCTTTATTATAATGCATTATACTACTCAACAATAAAACATTTCTTCTTCCCTTTATTGAAGCCTGCATTCCCTTTGTTCTAAATTATGCCTTTTAGAAAAATGAAGACTTTTTCTGGCTACTTGGACATCAGACCCGGCTCATTACCTTGCCTTATCTGATGATTGCTGGGCTATGAATGGAGCCTGTTATTGTCAATAATCCTTGTCCTGTTCAAATACCTATGTCAGCACTGTAATTTCCCCGCCTGTACTGTGGTTGCTTTCAACATCATCTTCCCTTGTGGAGCAACTCTGCTTTTGCTGCTCCCTGACAAGAACTAGTCATCCAATGCTTTTATATACAAAAAACCCCCACCTACAATAGTTGCATGGAATCACCGTCACCTCTCCATTGCCTATAAATAGAACTTAATATGACTGACGCTTTAGGTACCTAAAAGGTTTAGAAACTTTGAGGTTTCTAAACTTAGCAGATACTGATCAATCCAAAGTCTAGAAAGAACTGCATATAGCTTCTTTATATTTCTTTTTTGTGATGAAAGAAGTACTGTAAAACATATACTAAGTATGTATCTGAAGCAAAACCCAATGAAAGCAAAAGAATTTTTCTTTCGATTGTAATGTGCTTAGGTATTTAGTACTGTTCCTCTCAATAATTTATACCGAAGAAAGATAACTTAAAAATGTCAGAATTATTAAAAAATTTTTAGACTATTATGTGATAATTAGTAGAAGTATATAATAACTGAAGCATCTATTTCTATAGATGTGAACTGAGGGTTTATTAAAATTCATTATATGCTGTATTAAATAAATAGTATATTACAGTTGTAATTAAAGATTATTATGGGCTAGAAATGAGTCAAAGATATGCATGCATCCTCATTTTTGCAATATTAGTCAAGTTATTGTTTGATTTATTAAATATACCATCTTCAGTTCTTAAATTATTTTTGACCTTACAAAACATTAGTCTATCCATTTCCTGAAGAAA